CCCAGAATTCCCCAGCCAGCATGGCTGGCTGGGGAATTCTGGGAATTAAAGTCCACTTGTCTTAAAGTTGCCAAGGTTGAGAAAAACTGCTCTAGAACAAGCACCAGGAACATTTACTATCAAAGCATAGTATCAAATTAATCAATTCAAAACATGCTAAAAGTAACTGAGACATCAGTCCTTCACGCATACAAGAGGTGCAGGGCACAGCTGCAAATAAGAGGTCTTATTGTTGTGTGTAAGCCTGCATTACTAGTCTCTTAAACCAGATCTAAGTCTAAAACATTTTCCACTCCCTGGGATTTTTCAAGGAGAAAGTTGCTGTAGCCGAGGAAAAACTGCTGTATTCCAGTAAGGAACAATCTGGATTATTAAATCACAAATTGTTGGTCTTCAGGAAAGCAACAGACGCGCTGGTTAGGGTCCTTACTGGAATTGATGAATTAAACCAGTTGGTGTCTAATGAAGGTTTATGCCAACAACAGCTGATCCTCCATCATCCATTCACCACTGAGACCAGGAAATGAAGGCCACAACATGGAGTAAACTAATAAATCTTATTCCCGAATGTTACCTTGGTCAAAAATAATGATAAAAACCTATTATTGAGGAAAGTAAGCCTAATTCATCTCATTCTGCCACTTGTACCTTGCAAATATTCTGGCTAATCTTTTTCAGTTCTCCAATCTGCCTCTTTCGGTCTTCCAAAGCCTTAGCAACCGGATTCTCAGTTCCTCTGAAACCATCGCATTTATTTTCTCTAATTAAATCATCCTTGCAGAGAATACACCTCCGCCAAACACACAGTTGAAACTGACTCAATTTCTGCTTAACCAACACCAGAAACCAGGCAGCCTCACTAACTTAGTTAAGTGACACATTCCCTGTCATTCCACAGATGCTTATTTGCACAGCAGTTACCATTTGATGACAGGGAAAGCTGTCCTCTGCCTGTTCAACGGTGTCACAAGTTCTGAAGTGGTTTGCTCTGTGAATCCGGAGGTTGAGTCATGGCAACTGGACTTCTTTTCTTCTGTTTTGATACGTTTCTCTGCTTGTCCAAGCAGCTTCTTCAGTCTA